AAAGAGAGAGAATGAAACGTCGCTGTAAAAGCGATGAAGACTCGTTCAGAAACGTGCAGCCTCGCGAGAAGTGCGTGTAGGATCAAGAGAAAAAGAAAAGAGAAAAAAATGTTATCGTAGTCGACAATCGGCATGGCAATCGGACGAGCGGCTTACATTGCTGAATGGCGTACTACTCGAGTGATCCTCCTGGTCCAGGGGAGTGTGAAGGGGCGATGGGAAGTGCACGTTGCTCAAGTCGGGCAACGACCCTGTGTTGTTGCCTATTGGTATTTGCTGTCCCGGCGGCTGTGAACTCGGGTATATGCTGAAACAGAGAATTTCGCGAGAATTATGACTAATTCAATGGAATCCGCGGGACAATCGAACCGAGGTTTTTATCAAAACGTAATTCCACGATACCGATCGCTCGGCACGAAAGTTGTAAAACGGCGTTGTAAAACTGATTGTGGATCAGACTGGAAGGGAAAAAGAGGCTTTCGGAGCCTAGCTGTAATTTTCAAAAGACCATTGATAACTTTATCATTCAAGAGTACGTACTTAATCCCAGGCACTCTAGGCATTTCGCACGAGGATCTTGGTCGTTCGATGAAGCCGTGGTGGGAATCTCTGTTGTCGTTTCCGCTTCCGGTCATAGCGTGTTGATCTGTTAATCACAGAAGACAGGATTCAAGTTTCGCAATTACGTCGCAGCATCGCGGCGAATGTCGACACGTTAAATACGTCGTTTGCGTAAACGGCGGAGTCTCTTATTCTTCAGTTCTCCACGTTATTACGGTGCTGAATATAAAACGATCATTTCGGTACAGCATCTTCCGTTATGGTTGTGCGGAACGCGGGCAATTTCTCAAACTAGTTACTCGATTTCTCCATAGCAACGTAATATCGCCGGCTAACGTTGCCATCGTATAACGTTTCACGTGCTCCGTTGTCTTGCGCGAGATCACTTCGCAAAGTTTCATGATTTGACGCGATCTAAGGGCAATTTATACCAAAACCGTATCGCGTTATTGCTTCCGGAAATTTTGCACACGTCTCGTTGACGGGGCGAGAGAAAGCGAGGGACAGGGAGAAAAGGCAAGCTTTATCCCAGGGAAAGGAGTCATCGATCCTTCTTGATTAAATTTTAACGTACGCGGCAATCGGTGTATGGCAAAAGCGTTTAATTAGTTTCGCGAAGGTAAAGCGGTCACGTCAACGGAACCGCAAGAATTTCGAGTTCACAGCTCGACATCACGAAAGTCTTTAACGCGCAGATTAAGCCGCGTCGTACACTTCAGAGGCGAACGTGACGAGGAGGAAATCAAAATCTCTTTGTAAAATTCTCTAGATAGCCATTTAAGAGAGAGGAGCAGTGTCGTGACGTAACGAGGTAACGAGGCAACATGATAATGACATGGAATTTCCGAGCCGTGCCGTTCGTCGAAATCACGTCAAAAGTCAAAGAGAAAGCCTGGCGAAGGCTCGGGAGAGTGTTTTACATGGGATGGAGCGGCCGAGAGACTGTATGCTGAAAAACTGTATTATTCACCCTTTACGCGAATACTCGATCACGCTCGAGTTGTTAAACGGTTAAACGGGAAATAAAAACGTAATTTCGTCCTCGCGCAAAATAAATCACTGCACGATGTTTCAGCCTCATGTTGTTTGATTATTAACGGTTGACGAGTTATTAATGCCTGCGCGTGTGTGAAACGGTCCAGAATTTTATGAGAGTTGTCTGATTAATCGACCCTCTCTTTATCGACAGCCACGATCAATCGCGGTAGGAGAGATACACTTAAAGAAATGTAATACTTCCGACGTACGGCCGGCATATTTCTCAACCGCGTTAGTCAGTCGACGGGAGTCGAGATGGAGCGAATGGCTCTGTTTTTATTTACAAACGGAAACACTCAAGGTGGCACGAATGGACATTAATTCCAAGGCATTAATTCTCATTAATAAGATAAGATCACCCAGCGAGTGCTCCGTGATGAAACGTGATATTACGTAAGGATATTCCGTATGCTATCTCGGCGTATGATAGATCATGGGATTTCTCGCGGGATTTCTCGCGGGATTCCTCGCAGAATTCCTCACGCAGCGTCCGTCGTCGGAAGTCTCGCGCCGTGGAGTCTCGCCGGGGAAATACGCGGAATGTGCGAATCGGAGGCGGGTTTACGCGCTATTAAAAATTAAGGAAAAAGAAAAAAAAGAGGAAAACCGACATGCGTTGCTACCTCGTCGATGAGGTATGGCGGAGGCCGACTGGCAGGCCTCGTTGGCGCTCTGGTGCAGAGCCGAGTCCGAGTTCGTTCTCCGCCAGGTGTCCGGCGGGGGTGGCGACAGGTAGGGCACGCCGCTGTACGGCGACGTGTCATGCCTCTTCTCCATCGGGCGAGATCGCATGGGTCCCACCCCCATGCTCCGACTCCTGTTGTCGCTGCGGTACATGGAGTTGTGCTGCATCTCCTCCAGATTGCTGAGCGCCGTCTGCAAAGATACGCAGGCTCACCTTGAGAATCACGATTGGCAGCGTACGAGAATTACCAACATCCAATTAACAACGTCTGGAAAATCGTGCGGTAACAATCATAGATGTATGCGTGCCGTGTTTTGTTTTTTTTTACTTCGCTACCTTGTGTGCGACGCGCACTCTTACGTGATTGTTCTCCATATATATTATTTAGCTCGCGATACCGGCGCACATCTCTTCCGCGAGATTTCACGAGATGCGACGAAATAATTTTAGATTTATTTTAGATTTATTTTAGATTTTAGATTTCTAACTTGCGCGAAGGAGACGATCGCGAGATAATTGTGTAATGTTATTACGTTACGCGAGCGTTCGGCTGGGACTGAATAAAAATGCGAGGAGGGTAACTGGCGATATGGAAGCAAGAGAAACAAGAAAACGGATAGATAATTAACGAGCGCCAAGAGAAGTTTTACTGATAAGATAGGATTCCGGCGAATTTCGCTATTCCGAGTTACGGGGCTGCGCCCGCGAGGCGTCTTTACGAAGACAGATTCGCGCGTTTTTATGGGCGAGGGGAGCGGGGAAGGAAGTAGTCGAGGTCGAAGCGAAATAATTCACTTCTATCTATGTGCTACGGTGGCGAAACCAGCTTTTCGAACCACCCCCAACCAGCGGCAAACCATTCAACCGACGACGAAGAATTTTCTCGCTTCGCGTATCCCGCCTCATAAAACGGTCTCGTCTGCTTTACGACCTGCCGTCATTGCTCGGGTTATGAGCGGCAATTAAAGTGACATAAAGAAATTTAATGTGGGTATTCGAGCGGCCCGAATTTCCCATGGAAACCTCATTTCGGCGCCTCACCTGACGAAATTCTCGCCGCGACAGCGAGAAAATTTTACTCGCGAGCTCCGTCGACGTTTCACATTTTCCGCCGTAACGCAAATATTATGTCGTAATCTGTCGAATGCGATTTATTGTCGCCTCGCTGCTTTCTATCACATATTTGATTAGTCTTAAATAAACAGTAACCTTTATGTCGCCTCTCATTCAAGACGCAAGGTGAAATGCGACAAGGGCCACTTTTCCGAGAAGCAATATCTCGCTGCTTTACATCACAAGAAAAGCAGACATTCTGTAAATTGAATGCAGCTAACTCGATTAGATAATATTTCCTTTCAAGAAAACTCCAAAGTAAATTTACTTGAGATATTCTCTACGCCTTCTCTAATCACCTCTATTAAGGATTAATATGCTTGTTAGCATGCTTGTACGCATGCATATGCATGACATATCCATCTCTCGTGAGAAACTGATGTCATACACGTGACTCGGAAATACTGTTTAGAATCTAGAAAAATATAGAAATTTGAAATATACAGTTTTCATTTGGTATACCAAACCTCTTTAATATATTCTATGTGTGTATAATTGCAACGCATGTGCTACGCTGAATAAAACTATTAAAAATGTAGCATAGCCTGCGGGGAAGATTTTTCAAATCTGAATTCTCAGTAGGAAATGTATTAAATTATTTTTTAAAACTTGCTTCATTTCAGTATTTATTTCGTTTTACAAACGTTATTTTTTTTTAGTTGTACAAACATATATTGCAAACAACAAACATATTGCAAACAACAAAGTTAATATAGATTATAACAATAATATTAAAGTTAGTTTAGGAATATTGGCTGCACTCAATAACAGCAAAAGTTATTAAAAATTAAAAAAAAACATTTTTACAGTTCATGCTGTTTGAAATATTAAATAAATAGATCTGGAAAAAGAACAAAATATAGATAAAATAACATGTGACATAATTTGTGACATTTTCATAGGAAAAAATATTCATAATTAATATTGCTTTCTAATCGATAACAAAAACTTTTGATCGTAAATATATTTTCTAAAAAATCAACTGCGAGAACACAAAAAATAATATTATAGGAAAAGATTGAATTATTATTAATATCCAATAATTAAATATATATGACATATAAAAATAATTTTAAAAAATTATATATACAAAAACAATTAAATTGATTAAATTAAATTTTAAAACAAAATATATAAATTCTAAATACATTTATTTATAGCATTAATGCAATCTTTTTCTATAAAATTCAATGCAATTTTAAAAATTAAATAAAAATTTCCAAACCAATTTAGAATATTAATCTTAGCTTTTATACAAACAAAATAGGAGTCTATGAAATAGGAGTCTATTTTTATGCTTCTGCCAATATTTTGGTGCATGATATATACAATCATAAATTTCGAGAGAACTCTCCTACGAGAAGAGACGTGTCGTTAAAAAAGAATTTCTCTTTTTAAACTCCGATAAGAAAACAAGCGTCAGACTAACGGGGATGAAACGATTTTATGGGATTTTGTGCTTCCTGCCTGCAGCGAAATTGCGATTTCAATAGAAATCTCTATCCGTTTCAGCCGCGTTGGTCGCCATGTGTCGGATGAACGTGGGTCGCACGGCTATTACCTAATATCTGTTGAATTATGCGATAAACACGAAACGTCTCTCCCACGATTACGGGCCTTCATGTAGACTGATACCGAACGGCCGCGCGTGTCGTCCGCTCATTAATCACAGTATCAGTTTCGAAAGGCGTTTCGACATTACGCTTTAAGTGGACGGGCGATCAAAAACATTGACATGACACAACACTTTCGTCATTGCCGATGTCGGATTAGAAATAAAATATAACGGGCATACGCAACGGGTAAACGGATCTTCCCGCCCAATTTCGTCTTACGACGCCTCGGACAGTCCGCGTTTCGTTCGAATTACGAGAGAAAACCTTTGATTCCTGACGCGCGGAATGTAACGAGTGGATGTAGCAATATTTATATGCGACGCAACAGTTCCACGTAGTTGGAATCACCGGTGACGTAATCTTTCAGCCACGCGCGCGAGTACGCGTGTGATAACTCCCGCGATAGTTTTTATCGAAGCGTATTTTGAGGAAGCTCATCTAGACGTCGCGCCGTACAAGTTTTAACGGCCGGACCACCACCACCACCACTACCATCACTACCACCACCATCACCGGCTACGTTACCCCATTTGCATAATGTAATATGCAGAACGGTGTATCGGTGTAATGACGATGCAAGAATAGTTTCAACGCGACTTTTTTTACGTCGCACACACGACCGACACACGGTACGCGCACACGAACGTCGTCGTATACGCGTGCACATGTCCGAGACTCGTAAGTCGACGATAGCATAGATGTTAACATATTCGCGCATCGTGGCGGACGCCACGCTCCGGCCACGCCGATGGGTCTTTATATAAAACCTTTGTTAGGATAAAATCCCGTCCAGAAATATAAATAACGATGTTATAAGCGGCCACAAAATGCTATTAACTTGTATGATTTATGACGACGATCGCGCCGCGGCGCGAATCGATAGAGGGGAGTTACAAAGAGGCGCTACCATTTAAATAGACCGAAAGAAAAAGGGGCTTCTCGTTAATTCTTAATTCTTGAAAGTTTAATTTTCGCGACGGGGAGAAGACGTCTATCGGAAAAATTCCTTTCTTTTTCGTCGCGAGGATATTTTTCATGAGGATATCTTTCTCGAAATCGCGAGAGATATGAGAGCTATGGAAGATGAGAGATATGGAAACGTGACGAGGTTCTCGAGAGACCGGCTTTCTTCGCGAGAAAAAAACGGAAACTTTACTAATTATATCGAAAATCTGGAAACGGAATGGTAACTCTCCACGCGCGGGTCGACGTCTCCATTCACAACTTTCCCAATGTCAGGGCCGTGGGCGTCGCACGAGACGGCGCGACGCGGCGCATCGACTAAACCGCACTCGTTGAAGAAACATACCTTCAATTACCGCCGACGCTAATAAAAGGCGTGCCCGCGCGACCTCGCGGATTCACCACGATATTTGCCCGAAAATTAAACGAGAAAGAGACGGACCGCTCCCACACCCCCGTGGCGGGGATTTCGATTTCGCTTACTCTTCTCCAGTGAGGGAAAAAAAAAGAGAAAGAAGAGAGAACCCTTCGTCGGGGTGCGAGAGTGACGTACTCCTCTCATTGAACACCGCGTATTCCCCGACCGGTAAAATACGTAGTCTAGAAACGAGTGACCCATTTAAGGACAATGCGAGGCGACTACAGCAGGTTTATCGCTTTAGAGTGCGCTCTCGCGCGCTTTTATTACTATGTGTCTTCGTTACTACTCTCTCTCTCTCTCTCTCTCTCTCTCTCTCTCTCTCTCTCAATAAGTTTCAATAGATTAGAGAATACGCGATGACGATGGCGCTCGTCGGTACTGCCGGCACGTGCCGATATTCAAGATAAACGCACGCGACAGCGACTCTCTCTCGCGGTCGGTCTCTCCTTACCTGCATCTCCCCGACACGAGGCCGATATTAGTCTCATGGGAGAGACAACGTGTGCGACGGATGCGAGAGGCACGTCGAGGGTTACAAGGCCTGCGATCGATGTTACGATGTACGTCGCGTCGCCGCCGCCGCCGCCGCCGCCGCCGCCGCCGATTCCCTCCCGTGTTTCACGTCTCGCCACGGAGGAGACCAGAATGTAATTACTTCGCTATCCATATTCAAGAATGAGATTACCGAGAGACGGGCTCCTGTCAAAGTAGACACACGGCACACGCTGCACCCGCAACGTGCTATCATCGCTATTCATCCGATCGCTCCGCCGAGTGCAGACGAACTATGTTGCACGTCGCGACGTGCTGTCCCGAATTGAAATTTATTCCGATCCTAACCCGACGATACGGAAGAGCCGGAAGGTACGAAAGAGAGAGAGAGAGAGAGAGAGAAATTCTCTACCGAATAATAATAAAAGTTGAATTATTTTTCGGTATTTTTTCGGCAAAACCTCCAAAAAGATAACACGCCTGTCTTATTCATATGTAAAAATCTAGCTCTGATCCCGGACCTCTTACCCAGAGCGAAACAAGTTTTCAACGCGAAACCTCGCAACTTTCTACTAATCATTTATAT